ATTTCCAGGTGTGGTCAGCGTCATTTCGGGGGAGAGGGTGACTTTGTTAGAGAAATGAAACACAAGGCTATTAGAGAAGCGAAATTTAGGCCTGCCTTAAGAGGCTTGGCCTGCCATGGAGTCACCACTGTCTTACCAAAGTTACTTATTTACATGAAGCAAATTATCTCAAGAAGTGGTAGTTGCTACATAGGATGTCACTACTAAGACACCATGTTTGCTAACTATTGTCAGATGGGCTGATCTTTTTCCAAGATTCTGTTGAACTGCCCCTCTTGTCTTAATGCATCTTCTCCCAAGATAATCTAGCCACATTATACATATTTGGTTTCTTTACATTCGTTTTTAAATCCCAGTTCAAGCTCTCTCCTCTTAGCATGGAGTTCCCCCATCTTAGGAACACTGGCTTCAGAGTTGGTATGCTTAGGTTGGGCTCTTGCCTCGAAGTGTCAATATCAGAGGACAGTGGAGACAGGGCTATGATATCCTGAGGTTCCCCTTTCTGACTCTCCTCAAAACGACAGCCACATAGTTGATAATCCGTGAGCCTGTGTGGACTGACGGCCACTCGTTTTCTCCCTTCTCAGTCTGCAGAATGTCTCAGTCTGCAGTATGTCCCACGACTGTCTTCTCTGTACTTCCACGGAACTAGCCAAGCAACGGCCCTTATATTTATCTATTTGCTAACCATCTCAGTGGAAGAAATGTATCTCTTCCTGTTTACACTAATTCTTCCATTTGCTTTGTTTCCTACCTCATTTATCCATTCAAAGACCTCCTGAGATTGCTTATTTCCTGTCTAATCTGAATATTTAAGCTCTACCTCACTGCTTTCCTATGCTTATTATTTTCCAGGCCATGCATACAGATCTTGAATGGTCATATGCACTGCTGTCCAGAGGCCACGGTTCAGTCCCCACGCTACTGGACTGTTGGCACTGTCCCTCTCTCTTGCCAGGCTTCAGATCCCTCTTCCAGTTTTCTTTCTTCACACACAGCCTGCTGATCGCTTGCCTGCCTTGCCCCAGGACCTTTCTACTTTTTGTAGGAGACTTTGTGTCCTCCAAAAAACAAAATAAAAAACAAACCGTTTCCTAGTGAATCACTCTTAGCGGCCCTCTCAGAGGAAAGACTGAGCCTCATCCTTCCATGGAGCCACTGGTGGTCCCACACTGGTGGCTGGTGCTCAGTGGCCGCGTGGTTCGCAAATTCATGGCTTTAAATTTCCCCAGGTATTTTGATTTTGATCTTCATTCTAATTACCCTCTTTGGATCTTAATGCTATTTGGCTTATCACACAGCTTGCACAGATGTTATGTTCAAAGTGTTCCCAAAAACACTCCTGCAATCGCTCCGCTAACCCCCCTCCTATTTTGGTGCTCATTTCATTTAGCAACATTATATTTCTAGTCACTCAGAGCAGTATTTTTAATCATCAACTGTTCTTTCCCCCTTACCTTCAAGACAGCTAGTGCACTGGTTCACAAGTCGTGTGTAAGCACCAATAGAGTTCTAAGGAAAGGCAAAATGCAGAGGTTCAGCAGGCCTGGGATCAGAGCCAGGAAAATCTGCAGGTTCAACAAGCATCCCAGGTGATTCTTATGAATGGAGCCTTTGGTCTGCAGTGTAGACCACCTTCAAAAACATTCATCCTATCAGTGCCCTGGTGATTCTGCCTTTAAAATACAACTTGTGTTCCTCTGTTCCCTTTTGTCCCAGCTGTGCCCTTGTTCAGACCCTCACTTGATTTGCCTTAATAAATGAATCTTCCTTCTTTAGATCTCTGACTGAAAGATCTATCTTTTACTTTGCTCTGTCCTTTAAAACTTCCAACAAGATCTTTTACGTAAACCAAAGATACGATTTATATTCTTCCTCTTTTAAAACCCATTGGTGGTCACCCACTGAGAATACACGTCTCAAGGTCTTTCATGGCACATATTTAGCATTCCCGATTGTGGACTCAAGTTCATCGTCAACTATGTATCCTTCAACGTTGTTTGATTCCTCAACTTTTATTCTTTCCCTGTCTGCTGCCAGAGCATTGTCACATGGTGCCATTCCTCATCCTGAACTGGTCTGATTCAAATGCTCCCTGCCTAAACTTCCCACTGCTCCTGGGCACTGCCAGGGATACTCCTCGGCTGCCACTCTTCTAGACCTATGGTGTGCCACTCGGAGTTTGTTCTGGCTTGTAGTCCAGTCCTTGTGTACCTATCATCAGTGTTTGTCTCTTTTTGGTTGTACAATGTAATGTACACATCGTTGTTCAGACTTTAAGCAATATGTTTTACCATTCTGAGCTTGATTGAAGTGGTAACACATCTTTCAGAACTCTTGTGCAAATCAATGAAATAAAGCATTCTTGATTAGTACATGCTGTTGAATAAATGTTTTTCCCCTTTCTTTCCTCTGTTTACAATTTACTTTCCCCTTTACCTTATTTCTATAGTCACATCTTTCTTTTATTTGTCCCCTATTTTTTCTTTGCGTCCTTTTGCATGCTGCCTCTCTTTCTTCTTTTACTCCTTCTTCTTCTTCTTCTTAATTTCTATCCCCCAAAGTATACTTGTCATATAACTGACTTGAAGCTCCCTAAAGAATTTCTGGACTGTTTTAATGAATTGATTCAGATTGTCTATGCAGAATTAACTAATGTGACTAAAAATAATTAACTTTACACATACATAGTAGATAGAAGCAAACATATTTGTACAATGCGACATGATAGAATACTTTCCAGTTCCTGTATAAAGCACAGCTTTAATGTTGAAGCAATTCTCATCTTATAAAAATCACAATATTTAAAAAACAAAGATGTTGATCTGTTTAACAATTGATGGTCCTTTGTGTTTCTCTTAATATCAGGGACAACAAAGCCATATCCTGCTGATATTGTAGTTCAGTTCAAGGACATCTATACATTGATGGGCCAAAATGTGACTTTAGAGTGCTTTGCTCTCGGAAAGTAAGTACATGTGTATATTAATGAACATGTGTGGAAACAACAGCACCACTTGACTTCGTGTCACGCGGTGTGTGGTAACTCATGGTGCTGTTGCACACCGTCCCCTGGACCTTGTACCAGACCATACAGAATACTTAGCAATGTGTATTATCAGTCTTAATCATAGAATAAGATGAGGGGGCTTCACAATGTTTGCAGACAAATGGAATTGGAAGAGACTAAAATTTTTATTATCTTTCCTCTGATGTGAAAGTTATAAATAACTTAAATGTAATCTCTCTTAGATTACATTTAATATGAATATTAACAAAATTGTCTTGTAAAATTTTTCTGCATTTAGTTACAATGTTTTTAGAACATTATTAGTAACTGAGAGGTAGCCTTTTTGATTTCTCTTCTTTCCTTTTCAATTACCACTTCATTCTCAAAAAAAGAAAGTGTCGTAGGGGAAAAACGACCCTAACTTTAATGATAGTTTGTAGAGGAACTGTATGGAGTGGGGTACACCTCAGTTCTTTGCTTCACACACTGAAAGAATTTACACCGAAGCACGGTTTGTAATCTAAGTGGATTTTAATGAGGGACAGGACAAGTGTCAGGTTTTACAGTCTCAAAAGGGTTCACGCTGTTTCTGGAAAGTGGGCCAAGCTGCACAGAAGCCATGCTGGGGGTCACAACTGGGCACGAGTAACCATGTGGAAAAGAGTACCCTCACCTACAGAACTGGGCATGGGTTGGGGTGGGGGCGATGGAGATGCCAGGAGGCCAGAAGCCCAAGAACCCTAGAGACTTAGAGCATCCGAGCAAGTGACTGTGGGCCCTGAATGGGCCCAGAACAGGCACCTGTGTGCCAGCTCAGGGCAGGGAGACTCTCACCCTCTACTTGCTGCTGACCAGGAGCAGGGTAAAAGAGAGAGCGAAGCCTTCCCCCAGCCCAGATATTTCAAACCTCTGGCTGGGGAACGTGTGGTACATGGTATTGGTTGACCCCTTTGGCTGAGAAAGGCTGACCTGTGTGATGAACCTAAGGTCCAAGATACTGGTTTAACCTGGGCCTAGGGGCTTATGTCTGTGCATGTTCAGTTTGGGGTCTTCATAGGTGTCTAATGGTTGCCTGATTTCTTTCCAAGCTCCTCTATGGGGGCCTTTGCAGACATGGGAGGGACAACCACCCTGTCCCTAAGCTAGCTACGTAACAAAACCTTTATGAATCTTAAGCAGGACAAAGATACAGTCAAATATGAATCATCCAGATGAGAGAGCCCATCAGCCTGGGTTTTTTTAATACCATGCTTTTAAAAACCAGTCATAATGGTATCTGATGGATTCACAGACACATAACTACTTAAATAGATTATGAAAAACAAAGAAAACTGTCATAAAATTATCATCCAGAGGAGAGCGATCCATCCTAGTCATATGCTGGGCTATGGAGCAGGAAAGAGACAATGATTGGGTACATAGACTATTGCGTGTAAGAAAAGCTCAGAGGATTGGCTCTGAGACCATCAAGTTCAGGATGTGGCTCAATGCTTTGACCAGAGTACACGGGAAGGTTCAAACGGTAAATTAGCATAAAAGTTTTAGCCTTGTGTGTATGAATATAGTTGCAGGAATAGTTTTAGAAAACTCCTGTGTTTATGCTGAAGTACGACACACATTTTTTCCACACAGGCCTTTCGGAGTTAGCCCTGCTGATAATGTCATTTGGTGTGGTTACCACTCGATTAGTGATGCTACTGTAGCATCAATGTTATGCCCTTTTAAGAAATAAATGATAGGAATGTTTGTCAATAAACAGAAATGTGTACTCTGTGGGCACTTAGCATTCGTGTCTTTCATTTAAAGCCCTGTTCCTGATATCCGGTGGAGGAAGGTCCTAGAACCAATGCCAAGCACTGCTGAGCTCAGCACGTCTGGGGCCGTCCTCAAGATCTTCAATATCCAGTTAGAAGATGAAGGCACATATGAATGCGAAGCTGAGAACAACAGAGGGAAGGACAAACATCAGGCAAGAATTTACGTCCAAGGTAGAGAGACCATTTTCATGCTGTATGCGTCTTATTGAGAAGGAGTTCCCATGTACGGAAACTGGACTGTAATGATTCATCTCGTTGCTATCAAGCCAATGTCCTCCGACAGCACCGAGGGCAGAGCAGAACTGCTCCGGTTGCTTTCTGAGTTGGTAGATGTTTTTGTTTTTTATTTTTACACTTGGTGAATCTTTATGGTAGAAGAAAGCCTCATCTTTCCCTCATGGAGGCGCTGGTAGTCTCGAACCACCGATTTTGTGCAGCCCAATGCATAATCCGCCACAGCCCCTCAGCTCCTTGTAATGATTAGTAGTTTTCAAAGCGGCAATGTAGACTACATTTGCAGAAATATTTATGTCACAATAAAGATGTCCCATTTAGAAAAGGTTTCGTCTCAGAAACGCTACATCCGATCCAGTGTCTGTAGAACTGCTTGTTTTCTCAGCTTCTGCTCCAAATGTCCCCTCGGCTTTGACAGTCTACTTGCATGGCTCTCCCTGAAAGCCACTCTTTCCTCGGGGCCCTTTCCCTCCTGAGCTTCACCCCATTTCCTTGTAGAGTGGCTCTCTCCCTTGCTCCTCCTTCTCTCAGCCTGCTAACAACCTTTCAGGATCACGCTACACAATGCAGCCCCACTCCCGTGGCAGAGTAACGGTAGCTCCTACTCATGGATCTAAGCTTTTCACTGCTGACAGCTCTGTTGTTAGCACTATTTCAGAATCCTCGTGAACATCAAAATCCACATCGATTTTTTTTTTAATGGCCTGATCGCTCAAGTTCCTTGAAATTCTCCCTATCAGTGTGACTTCTTTTGTACCCTAGTTCAGCAACCGAAACCCAAGGTCAGACCTTAGATTCTCTGTTACCAAAAAGTGCAATTGCTTTGGAATCTCAGTTCTACGCATGGCCTTCTCTGACCGCCATCTCCCATCTGTCCAGTTCACCAGCTGCACTTGCAGTCTTTTGGTGTTTGTTGTGGTTAGGCTCCATAGAGTGGGAGTTCTATGCAAAGGGACAAAGTAGAACTGCTCGGCGGGGTTTTCTGTATAATATATCAGACCACCAGGTCTTTCTTCTACAACATGGCTGGAGGGTTTGAACTATCAACGTTTTAATTTGTGGAGAGCGCTTAACCTTTGGTCCACAAGGGCTTTTTAAAATCTGATGGCTATAATCCTTGTGATCTATGTGGGCCTATAATCAGTCAAACCTACTGTATTTTAAGTAACACTCACCTCCTATGCCCCACCCCACCTCTTTTTTATATCTGTAATACATCTTCCTCATTCTGGCATATTCCCTTTCAGTTTACTCACCTCTCTCAACTTTGTCTTGCTGTTTTAGCAATAGATTAATTCTGGATAAACCTCGTTCGATAGGGGAAAGAAAGGATTCCAGGAACTTGCATATAACTTGAACACTACGGTGCTGATTAGTCCATTTGACATTCATGATAACTAACGTCAAATTCAAGCTAGCTTCAAAAGAGGGCATAGAGTGCCCCAGTGTTATCAGTGCTGGTGTCAGCTGAATGATGGCTGGAAGCAGAGAAGACCTGACAGATGTTTCATTGAGTTTTGTTGGCTATGCAAAGGCATTCATGCGTGTGGATCATGCCAAACTATGGCTAGCCTCGAGGGGAAAGGGAACTCCAGAACATTTCCTTACGTGCACACCGTCCTTTGAACAGTACAAGGGGACAGCGTGAGTTAACATAAGAAGAAGTGTGCACCATGGTTATTTCTTTTTACCCTAGTTATTCAATCAAAGAACCTGAGACTCTGGGCCACGTGAAGGATCCTGAGGCATCGGGAGGAGAGGAAGGATGACAGGCAACCCGGGATATGCAGCTGCCATCACGCTGCTTGTTAAGGACTTGAAGTACTTGCTGATGAAGATCAAAGACTACCGTCTCCTGGTGGATTACACTTGAACATAGACGAAAGCCAAAGTTGACTGCAAAAGCAATATCTGATCAAAACTGGACCAACAAACAGCATCATGATAAACAGAGAACGTGTTGAAGTTGTCAGCACTTACAAATGGTGCATATTGCATTGGGTCGATCTGCGTTAAAGTATTGAAAAGCAAAGATGTTCTCTGAAGACTAAGGTTCAGGTTCTCAAAGCTGGGTATTTTCAATTGCCCCATATGCATATGAAAGCTGGATAATGGAGAAGACCAAAGAATCGATGATGTTGAATTGTGGTGTTGGCAAATAATAGTGTACATACCATAGGCTGCCAGAAAAAGAAACAACTCTCTCTTGGAAGACATACAACCAGAGTGCTCCTTAGAGGCAAAGCTGGTGAAACTTCCTTCACGTATTTTAGACATTGAAGAGCCCAGTCCCGGGAGAAGGTAGAGGGTCAGCACAACAAGGAACCCCCTCAACAAGGTGCGGTGACACGGTGGCTGCAACAGTGGGTGCTAATCTAGCAGTGATTGTGAGGATGGCCCAGGCCTGGGTGATTGTTCATTCCATTGTGTGTGGGGTCACTATGCGGTGGAACTCTGTCTATGGCCCCTAACAACCCTGGCGATGTAGATCCTTCATGTTGCTGACGATTATCAGACATGTCCCTACTCTACTCACTCTCGCTCGCTTAGTGAACTGTGTCTTATCTATTCCTCTTTCTTCAAACGGTCATACTACTTACTCCACATGTATCCATCAAGTCTATGTCTGCCAATGTTTCGAATTACTATACATTTTGTGACTTTTTCCTCAGTTATACCATTTTTAAATTTTCTTAAACTTTTAAAAAAGACCCCCTGGTTGTCTTGTGGCCTTTGAAAGGACCTGTCAAAATTGCTCCTTTGAAATCTCCAAATGCAGCTGCCAGGACTTTCTGCGCTGTCTTCTCTGACTCAAACATAACTGGCCTTGCCGAACTCTTCGGAAGCTGCTCTTTTGAATGGGCTTTATTTTGAAGGTATCCTAGCGCGACCGAGACAGTGTGTTTCTGAGAGAACTTGTTTGCAGCCATCCAGTTATCTCAGAAGCATATTTAGCCATGATCTGTTTGGAATAAACCTGTGCGTGTATGCACTGGAATTCTATTTGCAATACTATTTAAAATTTACCCTCATACAGTTAAGAATGTGTGTGTGAGAGAGAGAAAAGGTGAGTCCAAAAAGTGAAGAGAGTCATAATCAATAAAAATGTAAATCTTTAACACATCAGTTATTTTGAAAATAAATATTATGAGAGAAATAGCAGCTATTTTATGTTATTCATAGATTAGCTTTCCAATAAAATATGATTCACCGATAGCGAAATAATTAGGTATTGGATTTGAGTTGCCCGATTAAAGCTTACCTGAAGATCTATGGAAGTCCAATTTCAATGCTCTAACAGGGATCTTAAGATGCAAATGCGATCTGCTGCATCATCCTTCCAAATAAGGTTCACTGAATGCAATAGTAAGACTCAAGGTAAAGACCGATATGGCACCTGTGATGCTCTTTCCTTTGCAGCCTATCCTGAGTGGGTAGAACACATCAATGACACCGAGGTGGATATAGGCAGTGATCTCTACTGGCCGTGCATCGCCACAGGCAAGCCCATCCCTACAATCAGATGGCTGAAAAATGGATATGCGGTATGTATGTTCAAGTGCCTTGCTCTTCTTCACGTGTTTGGGCAGGTCAGCAGGCTGGTCTTGGGGTAAATTGAGCATGAGAGTCAATAGAGTAAGGATATTTGGGCCCTAAAACATAAAAGATTCCTTTAATAAAATGACTAACAAGTCTGAACATGCAGTGCCTTCCTTGAACATAAGCAACTGCCTGTAATCTTGTGCCTACCTTCTCTCTCCCTTTATTCTTCCTCTGTTCCACTTTCTCTCTCTTCCTACTCCTCCATCTCCACTCCCTGATGTTGCCCTCTTTTTCTTGCCACTGTTCCCTAACTCTACAAATGCAGGGGCAAAAGTACAGCTCTCAGTCCTACCGTTAGCCCTGGGGACAAGTAGCAGCAGGGGGATCCTCCTCTACCTCCCCACTGTAATCTCCCAGCTGGAGGGGACAGGTGGACTCTCAGCTCTGTAAGCTGCCTAGAACAAGAGCCCCTGGGCATGATGAGTGGGTTTGACTTCCCCATGCCACGGAAACCCCACTCCACCCACCTTAGGGCACAGTGGGGGCAGATCAACAGAGTGCATCTAAATGAAAAGACAACCAAGCCCAAAACATAGATAAAAGTATTTCAATGAAAGTTCATGAAGAATCTGTGTTTCACTTTGTGTTCTTTTTAGTATCATAAAGGAGAATTACGACTGTATGATGTGACTTTCGAACATGCTGGAATGTACCAATGCATCGCTGAGAACACACATGGAGCCATCTATGCAAATGCTGAGCTGAAGATCTTGGGTCGGTGCCATCTCTGATTTCTGTTAAATGTTCAGCAAGCGAGCAGCATGCAGACACATATGCACACAATGGTTGCAGGCTTTCTGCAGCTCATATCTCATTTCATCTTACTTTCTTCAATTGCTGACGTTAAAACTTTTAAAAATGTGGTTTAGAATGGGCTGATATTTGTGCCTTTTCGTTTTATTAAAAAATATTAGAGAAAAATAACTACAATATTCTTCTGTTGGTTGAAAATTTTAACAGCATGTATTTTTTAAACTAAATGGCAACTCCATGTTATTTTTAACTAAGCAGCCTGAATGCTGTAATAAATCCGCGGCAACATTGAGTCATTTTTAACATTGAAAGAACAAATCATTGAGCAAAATCCATATATGCCAAGTTAGACAAGCCTTGCACTTCCCGTGTCTTGTGTTCCCCCAAAGTACTCAGCAGTGACCATTGATGGGATGACACCACGTGTGGTCACAGGAGTCTTTGGTGCTGTCTGGTGTGATCAGTCCTCCAAGCTCATATTCTTCATATTCCAGACCATCAGGACATGCTTCAAGCCCCTTCCTGGACCCCCCTTTCATATGTCTTTTTTTCATGAAAATTGAAGCCTAAAAGAAGAAGAGGTCTAGCTTCTCCTGATCCCCAAACAATCCTTTACCTCTGACCCACATTCATTCCTTTTTCCTTTCACTGATACTCGTGCTTGATATCAACCTCTGCTTTTTGTATCTTTGATTCTAACACACGTGTGTGTGTGGATGAAATAACTATTTATATCTTTACTTTAGAATTTAACAAATTATTATATAAATTATATTTATATTAGACTAAATATATATTACACTATAATCCGTGTATCATATATTTTATTAAATAGTAATGTGATTTACTTAATGTGCAAGTTCACACGCATATGAATATGCATATGAATGTGAATATGTGTATGAATTTATAGATGTACCCAGTTACCATGGAGACAACTCTGGCCCCTGGTGACACCAGTTCCCACAGACTTGAACTTCACCGGGCTTGCAAGGCTGTGACCTTTCAGAAGCAGATCATGGGCCTTTCTTCTAAGATGCCTCTGGATGGGTTCAAACCACCAGCCTTGCACTTAGCATTTCGTGTCCTCAGAGGCATCTACATAGGAGATGCCCACTGGCATGGAGCTGAGCTCCATGTCTGTCCACCGGCAGGACAAAAGAGAACTGCCCAGTTGTCTTCCCAAGTCTGGGAACTTATGAAACAGGTGCCTCATTTTCCCCCCACAAAGTAGCTGGTGGATTCAACCACTGTGTCTTTTGTTTAACGGCCAAACATTTCACCTACACCACGACTGAAATGGCTTTGAGTTAGAGATAGTAGCACTGCCGTCAAATCCACTTAAGAGGAAAGAGCAGGCCCTATGTGAGTTTTCACAGGACAGTCAATCGCTCCAGTCTCTTATTTAGTTTCACTGTGGGACGGACAGAAAACAACAGAATTATACGTAATTTTTAGGTTAAATGTACATATAAACAATGTTTTATCAGGACCTTAGTTTATAATATTCAGCCCAGTTGTCTAGAACTGTATATCAAGAGTAGGTGAATTTTATGATATGTAAAAATAGAATTCAAAAGAGTTGTGAATTAAAAGAAAATGTTTTAGATATGGGATATTAGTTAGTAATGTCTGGTAGTATTTGATGAGAATAATACTTTCTAGTGACAATTGATCCAAAAAATTTAATAAAAGATAGACCTTATCTTAGAGTGGGGAGTTGTATGTTTTTCTTATTAATAAAAAAAATATCTATATTTTTTTTAGCTTTGGCTCCGACTTTCGAAATGAACCCTATGAAGAAGAAGCTCCTGGCCGCTAAGGGAGGCAGGGTTATCATCGAATGCAAACCCAAAGCTGCGCCTAAGCCAACATTTTCATGGAGCAAAGGGACCGAGTGGCTTGTTAACAGCACCAAGTAGGTTTAGAGAACTGGAGATCCAGCTTCAATCCACGAGTTTGGACCATACCCTAACCAGCCTAACAGCCATTGAGTCGAGGCTGATTCACAGTGACCCTGGAAGACCCTGTAGGCCAGGGTAGAACTGCCCTCGGGAGTTTCTGAGACTGTAACTCTTTTGGACAGTGGTTGGTTTTTTGTTGTTTTGTTTTCCCCTTGCTAATACAGGACTGGCTTTCATACGAACATGAAACTTTTCTCCACAAAAGATCAAGTAATAATAACATGAAAAGAAACAGTTGCCATTTACTGTCAGAATGTATAATAATTGAGGTGTGTGGGATTTTTTAAGAAAAGATTTTGTAATTTATAAGGAATTTTT